GAAACTTTCCTGACCACCCCACTAAAAGTGGCTTCCTCCCTCTCTGACACCACTCTGTTTCATTTTCTTCATTACACTTAATCTAAAACTGTCTTGTTTTGCTGGTTTGTTTACTAGTTTACTGTCTGTCTCCCCACTAGAACATCAATTTCTCAAGGGCAGCCACCTCTGCCTTGTTCACAGCTGTCCTCTCAGGGCCATGAATAGGCGCCTGGCATACACAAGGTGCTCAATAAGTGCTAGTCGAATGAATAAACAACTATGATTATTCCAGTCACTCCACTAGGGGAATCTCTAGAAGGGGGAGTGGTGTGGACAGAGGCGGCCTGTCTCTAGTATGGGCTCTTTGTCCCTCAGAGGTTGGCCCTGCCACAGGAAGTCCCAGCAATTGGGGCAGAACACCACAGAACAGAGAACCATTCAACAGGGAGAAAAAACACCTACATGTGGATGGTGCTACATCCCATGCTACCTCATGCTAAAAATCCAGGCTAGATGAGCAATAACAGATGCTAAAAATCCAGGAGTCGTGGCGTGACTGGCAGCCGTGGCCCACTCCTGGACTCCAGGGGCCTGTGGGTGCACTGATGACACACCTCCAGATGGGTGGTCTGGCTGGCCTGGCATTCTCTGTCCCTTCTTCAAGCAGTAGGACCCATCTCTTCCTCCTGGGGACTTGCTGTCCCCCACTCTCAGGTCACACGGTCCAGGTGGGGCTGACCCCACCTTCTCAGGCGTCGGAGGCACTGACTCAAACCTGGCCAGCAGGCATGTTTTATCTCCCTGGGTCCGGCGGCAGCAAGTCTAGAAGCTGGCACCCACTTTGCCTGCCCCAGAGTGAAAAGGGAGACGTCCCTGGGGCCAGGCTTGACGTTCCAGGCTGGGCCTTTTCAGGGATCTCAGCCAAATATTCCCTTTTCTTCTTCAGTAGCCTGGAGTAGAGCTTAGACCCGGCGGACACTCCCTCCCAGCTCTTCCTTTGCTGTCTTCCACCATGGGCTCCCATCTCCCAACTTCCTGAGCCCGCCCTGCTCTCTCACTTCACATTCACCATTCCCACACCTGGAACCCCCTTCTCCAGCTTGTCCACCTAGTAAACTCCTACTTGTCCCACCTTGGTTCAGATACCACCTCCTCCTGGGAGCCTTCCCTGACTCCCTCAGACACAGGTCACCTTTCTTTTCCCACACTCCCACCACATCTAGTAGGTTTCTCTGGGAAACCTTTATTCACTAGGTCCTACCAGCCTAAAAGATTTTGTTAAGCTTTATTTGCTGTGGTTATATTATGAAATAGAGATTTTTTTTTTTGGTTCTTCAAATACAAAATGATGTTTTAACAGCTGATGTAAATTTGCGATCAATGCCTACCCCTACCCTAGACAGTCTGAATTACTCCCCTGGAGAGATGCCTTCCCTACCCTTGATTGAAAAGCTGCAGCAAAACATCCCTCATTGATTCAGTAAACATCCCTGCGCCCCCCCTTGGTGGAAGGCATCGTGCTGAATGCGGGACACACAAATTATAAAATTGTGTCAAAATCATCCCTTTATCTGTACAAGCTAGAAAATGCAGGGAAGCTTCCTGCCAGACTGTTTAACCGACATTACTTTGGAAGCTGGTATTAGAGGGACGGACGGGGGACTTTCCCTTCGTCCTTTATGTAATTTTAAAGTGATAGGGGTTACAGGGGCTTTTGGCTTTCTTAGTATTTTTCAAGTGAAACATTTCTTAGTGGTTTGTTGGTGTGTCTGTTTCCCTACGAGGCTGGGAGCCCCTTGGGGACAACGCTGGGTCTGAGTTAGTCCTAAGTCCTCAGCTTCCTGCCAGGGCCTGACACATGGGAGATGTCTGCGAAATGACAGCAAGACAGAGCCGAGCAGGCAGAGGAAGTGGACTCAGTGGCAGGAGACACAGGCTGAGGAGAGGGGTTCAAGCCCAGGGCTGTGGACGGCTGTGCCTGTGGTGGGCAGCAGGAACATGGTCCCAACCGCAGCCTGGACCCAGCATGGTGCCTGACACAGGGGCAGATAGGACAAAGGTTTGTCTGTGGGGAAATGAGGTCACAGGGTGACAGAACTCCCAGAAAACAAACTTGGCCAGCTTTGCACTTACAGAGGACAGACAAGGGAAGATCAGAGCTGAGGGAAGCTGGGGCGTAGGGAGCGAGAGGAAAGGGAGGGCGGGGTTTGAGGAGACCTGGAGAATCAAGCCTGGGCGGATAGCAGTGGCAGAGGGTTGGCCTACTGCTGCCAGGGCTTCTGGGGGCCTGGGGGAGGTGGTTTTAAGGGTGTACGAACAGAAGTAGTGTCTGCTGCTCACAGGGGATGATGGCCTCGCTGGGTCTGCCTTAGGCTGTCCTGTCCCTCCTCCCTCCCTCTAGTCTTTGTCCCTTCAACAGGTATTTCCACAGGCATATTCTCACACAGCTCTGGGCCATCTGGGCTGTGGCAGGAGGAGAGGCCTGGGCTGGGGTCCCCCAGAGGAGGCAGGAGGCAGAAAATCAAACTAGCAGGAGGGAGGGAAGTCACTGAAGACTTCCCGGAGGTGTGGACTCCCAAGCTGAGGCTTAAAGGATGAAGAGATGCTGACCAGGTAAAGGAAGGGAGCTGACTTCCAGGGAGAAAGGAGGACAAGAGCAGGGGCACCTAGTGAGGAGCTCTGAGCCTTGGCGTTGCTCAGTGAGGAGCCATGTGTGCCGTGAGGCAAGCAGAACATGTGCTGTGGGGTCTCTGGTGGCCACGGTGGGAGGGAAACACGTCCTGGGAAGGCTGCAGCCTGGATCACGCAGTTAGAGACCTAGACTCCCAGGCCGCACTCATGGTGTGACATGGGGCAGGCAAGTCACTTTGCCCCTTGGAGCCTTGGCCGTGGTGAGGATTTGTGGGTTCGAGGGGGTCATTGTTAGCACAGTGCCTGCTACAAAGGCTGCAATGACAGGCTCTATTTATTGTTGCTGGGACGAGCCAGGCATTGGGAGGCTACATCTGGAAGAGCCGTTATGGAGCAGCGGGCACAGGTTGCTCTGTGTGATTCTGCAGAACCAGGCCCAGCAGCAGGAAGCTCTAAGAACGCAGATTCCAGCTCAGTGTTAAGGACAGTCCCAAATGGGAGCACTAGTCAGCAGTGGAACAGGCCCCTTGGAGGCCAAATTCTGTCAAGAGAACAGCCGCGAGGGTGCTGGACAGCTCCCTTGTGTGGACAGCATCTGCCTCAGGGGTTCCACGGAAGGGGATGGAGAGGGAGAAACAATCAGAGGAACAGTCACTGTGGGAAACACGGGGCCATGGGAAGTTACATAGGGTCCTCTGCTGTAGGACTTAGGACCTTCACTGACCTGGAGCACGGGCCACAGACCCAAATGCTTACAGAAACCAGGCAGACAGCACAAATGGGTGACATGGCCAGGTGTGGATGTGGTGGGCTGGAGAGAGCAGGCCCATCAGGAAGGGAAGCCTGCCCAGCTCCTACCCTGCTCCCGTCAGCTATCCTTATGGGAAATCTGCTGGACACTGTCATGGGTTGAATTGTGTTCCCCAAAAAGATATGTTGGAAGTCCTAACCCCTGGTGCCTATAAACATGACCTTATTTGGAAATAGGGTCTTTGCAGAAGTAATCGAGTTAAAATTAGGTCATGAAGGTGGGTTCCGATCCAATGACTGGTGTCCTTATAAGAAGGGGAAATTTGGACACAGAGACAGACACACACGGAGAGAAGATGGCCAGATGATGACAGAGGCAGAGACTGGAGCGATCCAGCTACAAGCCATGGAATGCCAAGGATTTCGGGCACCACCAAAAGCTAGAAGAGGCAAAGAGGGATTCTCGCCTAGAGCCTTCAGAGAGAGCACAGCCCCGCTGACACTTTGATTTTGGATTCTGTGGTCTGAGCTAATAAATTTCTGTTGTTTTAAGCCATCCAATTTGTGGTACTTTGCTCTGGCAGCCTAGGAAACTAATATAGCCACTAACACATGATTCAATGTATTACCAGAAGTCTCCAGAAAGGGGAAAGAGGATGCAGCATTTCCTAACTCAGATCACAGGCCCTTTTTCTGAAAGTGTCTCGCTGGATGAGCACAGGATGCGATGTGGGGTACTTATTCTGATTCTCAGCCTTTTCTTTTGCACCCACACAGGTCTCATACATGGGAGTGACTCCTGGTTTCCTCAGCTGTAAATTGAGGATAATGCGCCAACCTCCCAGGTGGGTGTGAACCCTCAGCAAGATGCAGCGAATGAGCTTAGCCAGGCACTCCATCATGTGAAGGATGTCCCCCACCTAAGCCTTGTTTTACCCCCCTGAGAGATGGGCGGCAGCATCTCCCAAGGCTTCCTATGGTTGCTGAGAACTACCCAGCACATAGCTAGTGGTCAGAACAGTCCACATGGACCAGTCAGCCCCCTGCACACTCCCGGCTTCTGTGGTCCTCTGCTGGAGGGAGCGTGTTCCTCCAGCTTCCCTTACCTGTGCTGTGAGCTGGATGGGCTGGGACAGGGTGAGCTGTGGGGTCCCAGGGGGCTGGCTGGCAGGCTGTGATGGTGGCAGGTCGCCTCCCCCAGAGGAGGCTGGGGGCTGCGAGGTCGAGGAGGAGGCAGAGGAAGAGGAGGAGGAAGAGGAAGAGGAGGTGGAGGAGGCAGCGGCGACGGCAGCGGCGGCATTGGATTGCTGCACGGCGGCGGCCAGGAGCTGGGCCTGCGCTTGCTGCAGGAGGAGCTGCTGCTGAGCTGGCATCAGTGCCGTGAGCTGTTGGGGGGCAGGGGCAGCAGGGGCCAGAGGAGGGGCATGGGGAGGAGCAGAGAAGGCAGAGAGGGGTTAGTGCCTGAGCCAAGCAGGTTAGGGGGCAAGTCTCCCAGGAGGACAGAAGAGGGCAAGAAGTAGTCATGAGAAAGAGGCCATGGCCCTGGTGGGACCTGTCCTCTCCTGGCCACCAGTCCTGTAACAGATGGGAGGTGGCTAGCCTGTACCCCACCCTCCCCATCCTTCCCTGGTACTTACCCCAGCTAGCTGGCTGCCCGTCAACATGAGTTGGGCCTGGGGCAGATGTGGCTGAGCCGGCTGAGGGGGCAGGGGTGCTGCTGGGGCTGAGTCGCCACTGGGGTCTTCAGCCTTGATCTGGGGGGGAGAGAGGCAGGGTCCGGGACCCCAGAATGTTAAGTGGAGGCCAGAGAGAATGCCCACCTGTGAACCAAAGAGAGGGCACGTGTGTGGCAAAGGCAGCCTCGGGCTGGCACAGGAGGGGTGGACTGGGGAACGGGGATGAGACCCGGCACAGGCCAGCTGGGAGCATCGGGCGGGCCACCCTCTGGCCTCAGTTTCCTCATCAGTCAGATGGGGCTAACACATCCCCTGCACCCAAACTCCCTACAGAGGAGCATCACCTTTGAAGAGCACTTTTCCCCTCTTGAGAGTCAGTTTCCCCATCTGTAAAATGGGAAATGATGCCAGTGAGGGCCCCGGGATGTCAAATAAGAGAGTTCTAGGTCCCATACCCCTCATCTGCCTCAGCCCGAGGTGCATCTCTTATTTGCCTAATGGAGAAGGACTGTATTAGAGAAAGAGCCTTGGGGTATTAAAAAAAAATCACCGCTTTGGAATACAGGTCATGAACTCAAGTGCGTACAGAAACAGGCAGACAGCACAAACAAGTGACGTGGGCAGGTTTAGACCAGGCAAGAGAGCCTGCCCACCTGAAGGGAGGCCTGCCCAGCTCCTGCTCTGCTCTTGCCGGCCACTCATTTCAAAATCTAAAGCAAAAACACTGGCAGGACCAGAAAAGCACATTTGTAGGCCTGATGTGGCCCAGGGCTGCCGGCTCTCAGCCTCCACCCCAGGAGTCCGCTGAGCCCCGCCCCCTCTCTCTGCTCAGGATGCCGGTGCATCTCACATTGAACACAGGCGAGACCAGCATAGAGCAGTCCTGGCCTCTTTCCTCTCCTAGATAACAAGCCAGATGGGCCTGTTGGTAAAGGACATGTCGGGATGGCAGGAGGCATGGCTTCATGGATCACACACTTTCAGGCCCAGAGGGGACATTAGGGATCATCCTTCAGCCTAATGTCCCAGCACCATTTTGCCAAAGGAGGTCCAGAGAGGGACAGAAATTCGCACAACATGATACAGTGGCTTGGCAGAGGCATGGCATTCGGAATGCAGACTGAGACGAATGGACAGAGGCCCAGGAAACAAATAAGAGTGAGTGGCGTGCCCCAAAGTATGGGATGTGAATGGCAGAACGTTTAAAGGGTACAGAGATGAGCATGAAACAACAGTGAGTGTTAGAATCCGGGACAGTGGCTGTTCCTAGTGGAGAATTAAGAGCCTTCTGGAAGTCCAGTAGTGTTCTGCTTCTTGATCTGGTGCTGGCGACATGGGTGTTCAGTTTTGAAAAGCCACAGAGCTGTATACTGAAGATCTATGTGTATCATATTTTAATTAAAAGTTAAAAAACAAACATTGCGGGCTGTGGTGAGAACACCATCCCTCTTTCAGGCTCCTTCATTCTTTCTGGTTCTCTTAAGAAAGTCTCGGGGCTAGGTGGCACAGAGGTTAAGTGTGCATGTTCTGCTTTGGCAGCCCGGGGTTCGCCGATTCGGATCCCGGGTGCGGACATGGCACCACTTGGCAAGCCATGCTATGGTAGGTATCCCACATATAAAGTAGAGGAAGATGGGGACGGATGTTAGCTCAGGGCCAGTCTTCCTCAGCAAAAAGAGGAGGATTGGCAGCAGATGTTAGCTCAGGGCTAATCTTCCTCAAAAAACAACAACAAAAAAAAACAAAAAAAGAAAGTTTCCGTTAGGTGCTAGGATGTCCCCAACACCTCCCCAACACTGGCTACTGTCCTCTTTTAACAAACAGAGAACAGGGCTCAGGCTCAGACCCTTCAGTACGCAAGAGTCTCCGGGTGCATTTTAATAATCATTGTATTTATTTCCATGGCAAGTGATTCTGGTTTTCCATTCATGAAATTTCCATTTAAAAAACGTTTATTTCAGCTGTTGAAAATCGAGCCAGTTCATGAGCTGATAATTGTTGAAGCCGATTGATGGGTACCTGGGGGTTTATATTCATTGTATACTTCTTTCTACTTTTGTATCTGCTTCACATTTTCCATAATAAAATGTTTTTAACAATTGAGCCAATTGACAAAATTATGATGTAAATAATTGTACGTGGTCGTGTGTGGATTTGTCTGAAACTGTGATGGGAGCACATGAATCACTGAACGGAGGGAAAGACTGACACAGAAGAAACCGGAGTGAGAAGGAGCGGAGAACAGGACGCTGGATGGATGGAGACCTGCAGTCAGAGGCTGCCGCCTTCTCTGCCTTAGGCTTTCCTGAGGTTTCCTGGGAACCAGGGCCCAGGCCAGGGAAGGGGAATGAGGACACTTACTTCCCTGGGCCCCTGGGCTGCTGTGGGGCAGGAGAGGCTGCAAAGATTCAGCTGAGAAGGGTGGGGGTGATGGACACATGCTCTGCTCTGTGGGCTACAGCCAGAGCGGAGCCTGAGATCAGAGGGAAGGAGGTCAGAGCCGGAGCCCTCCTCCCCTGGGCCCTGTCCAACGCGCTGAGGACAAGACACCCATCCACTAAGCAGCATCAGGGCGCCCTAGCCATGAAAGGCACCTCAAAGGTCATCCAATCTGACTGCCCCCACCCCCCCAACCCAGGTTAGAGAAGAGGAAACTGAGAAGCCCAGAGCGGGGAAGTGATTTTTCCATGGTCACGGAGCAGTTCCCGGCCCCCCATCCCATCCCTCGGCCACCTTTGTCAGGGTCAAGAGTCGTGCCCATGACCCTACTGCCCCTGTCCTTTGTGTTGCCTTCAGGCCAGTGGACCTGCCAGCAGCCCCCAACCAGGCTGGAGGGTGGAAACCTAGGTCCCAGACACCCCGGGAAGCCCAGTAGTGCCCAGTAGCAGGGCCCCATCTGGATTTGGGATTTGCTCTATCTGGCCACTTCCGGCTTCCTCCTCATCCTCTACTGTGGTATCCCCACAGCCCACCTCACTGGGTCTGCAACCCCCAGCCTCCCCAGCTGTCCCAGGCTGGCCCCTGAGTATGTGTTGGGGGGCGGGGGGTGGGGCAGGCCCCTGTTCGGTCAGGGAAGTTGGGATGGGGGCGGGGCCCTCGGCTTCCTGTTGTTCATCGCCCTGGGGCTCTGGGGGGGATTTCCCTGGCCACCCCCACCCCCCAGGGAAGGGGAAGGAGCCTGGGTGAGTCACAGGCCTGGGGCGGGAGCCCAAGGGTGAGAAGGGGCGGGAGGTGCCTTGTCACCAAGGTACCAGGGCTCGGTGCCCCCTCAGGCCCTGGGCCCCGAGGCAGGCATGCAGGACTCTCCCAAATGCCAAATGTCACCCATCATGGGACACCTCTCCCCTCTCCCCCTGCCCTGACTGCTCTGACAGGTGCTTACCTTGGTGCTGGGGCCAGATGGGGACACAGAGAACGGGGAGGTCTTATTCTGGGGGTTCTGCGAAGAGAAAGTTGGGGTGGGGGACGGGAACAGTGAGATGAAGCAGCTTCTGATACCCTGCTCCTCCCCCACAGAGTCCCCCTCTTTTCCCTTCTCCCTCTGCCCACTCCTCCTGCTCATCCACTCCCTCCTGACCTGATGGTTAGTGTCTGGTCCATTTCTTTCTGTGTCTGCAACGGGAGGGAAAGGGTGAGTTGTCAGCAGCCACCCCCCACAGCTCCCCCACCACACCTGCCCCTGCCCACGGTGACCCTCTGTCCTCCCTGCTCCCTTCCCCACCCACCTGTGTGCTCTGACGGGGAGTCCAGACCTTGCTTCTCGGCCTCCAGGGGCTTAGACATTCTTATTTCTGGGGACAGAGGAGGGATGCAAGTGGGGTGAGGGAGGGAAAGCCAGGAGGGCTCTCAGGTCCCTCCTCCAGCACCACCCCAGCCTCTCCCCAAAGCCCCGCTCACCCCCCGCCACCTTGCAGGTGTCTCTCTCCAAGAGACATGCCCTCCATTCGGGGCCTCTGCCCTCCTCCATCAAGACAAGAAAGGGGCCTTCAGGCCTTAGGGATTTTGCCTGATCCTTTCACCCCTCCAGAAGGTGGCGCAGGGAATGTCAGCCCCTGTGAGGCCCTGGGGCAGGGTTGGGGGTAGATGGCGGTCCTGAGAAGGCTTCAGCTGCCCAGGAGGAGGTTGGTGATGTTCCAAAGGAGCGAGTCAGCCTTGGGCTTCCTCCTCAGGCGTGCCGCCCAGGCACCCGTCCTGCCTCACCAGGTTTCGGGTGAGGCATGTTTTCCACTCTGAGTGGGGCCTGAGGGGTGTGAAGGGACTGCAGCATCCCCAAAGGAGCAAATCTGCAGATCTCTGGGTGTGATTCAGCCGCCCTCTGGCCCCGGCCCCCAGCCCACCACTTTCCCGTCCACACCTCACTCCCACCCGGCCACCCTTCTGGTGTTCAGCGCACAGGCCTAGCAGCCCAACTCTGACCTCTGTAACTCCAGCTCCAACTCCGTCCACTCTGCCCCTGACCTTGTCCTCGAACTTAATCCTAGACTTTTTATCCTTGAATCCCAGCTGCACACTCAAATCCAACCTAGATACCTGCCCCTAAAAATGCATCCTATTCTATAGTTCCATAGACCTGGGAAATGAAGGGAGGTGGCCAAGGAGAGATGGCAAGCTGGCACCAGGGGACATAAAGCAATGGAGACAAATGCTCTGTCTTCACAGTGCTCCAACGCCAACAATGGAAAGGTCAGTGCCTACCAGCGTCAAGCACAGCACTAAGTATGATTCAGAACTCACATGAGCAGCTGGTGCTAACATTACCCCCATTTTACATAGGAGGTAACTGAGGTTCCAAGGGAGGTGTCACCCTCCAAAGAGCACAGTGAGACAGTAAAGTTGTCCTGATAGGACCCCCAGTCTTCGTGACTCCAGGGTCCTCGCTTCTAATCAGAACTGCAACAGTCTAATGGACCCCAGTGGTGACTTCCACCTACCTCATCTCCAGCTGTCACCCTAACCCAAGCTCACCCTGACACTGACTCGTTCCCAGCACTTCCTGGTCCTAGACCCCCATACAAATCTGAGCTTCTGCCTGACCCGTTCTCACTCCCCTTCCCCAGCCTGAATCCCAACTCCCGACTGGATGATCAAAGACCTTAATCTGACCTTGACGCCCAATCAGCCTCAGACCCTAATCATGACTCCGAGTCTGACCCAAAAGTCTGCCCCACGACTCACTCCAAATCCCCAACTAAATCTTGACCCCACCCTATCAAAGGAGCTGTCCAGCTCTAGCGTGCCTTGTACCCAAGATACTTAAAGAAGGTCAGCTAAAGAGAGAGCTGGGACATCCTCAGCAATTGAAAAAAAAAAAAAGTCCAGGAATTTTGCAATTGAGGATTACTCAACATGAAAGATCACTCAGGTTTAAAATTTCTGATTCAAGAGCCAGGTCACACACTGCCAGTGGAAGTGTAAATCGACACAGTTCAGGAAAGCTGAAGAGGTGCCCCCTCCCTATGACCAGCACGTCCACTCCCGGGCATCCACCCAAGAGAAGGGAGCCTCCTGCCACCAATGCCCTCGGGCACCCGTGTTCCCAGCAGCCCTTTTGCATTGGCCCAGAACTGGAAATAACCAAGGCCTGTCAACAGAGAAAGGGTCAACACAATGTGGTATGTCCATACGATGAAATACTCCACAGCAAGGAAAAGAGCAGACACACACACCACTGTACGCATCTCACACACACCACTGGATCTCACCTATGTGAGGCCAAGGGAAAGACGTCAGACACAAAAGTGGACAGACAGTGGGACTCCGATTATGTGAAGCCCAAAAACAGGCAAGATGATATCAGGCGATCAAGGTCAGATTAGTGGGTACCTTTGGGGAAGGGCATGAGGAAGCCTGCAGGGGGGTGGAAATGTTCTGCAACTTGATCTGTTGGGTGGATACAGGAGTCTATACATACATAAAAATCCATCAAGCCGTACACTTAAAATTTGAGCACTTTACTATACGTACGTTATGTTTTCACACACACACAAAAAAAGAAAAACATTTAAAGGCTAAAAATATAAATAATACTAAGCCAGAACAGAGTCCTATTAAGGCATAGGCTGGTGAGATAGGGGAAGGGGTAGGTGCCCAGGATGCTGCAGGAGCTCAGGCCCTGTTTTTGGGCATTGGGGATGGTGCACCGAGTGGCTAACGATCTGAGAAACACAGGAGGACACAAAGGGAGCCAGGCGATGAGGCCTCACTCCTGACTCTGAGGCATCGAAGGCAGGAGCCCTGCCTGATCCTGCCTCTAAATCTCCCAGACCCTGGCCCTGCTCTAGGCAGCCGGTAACCCTGACTCGGCCCTAAATCTCAGCCCTCCTAGCATCTCTGCCTCCTCCCTGGCCGCTCTCTCCAGCCAGTGTCCACATGGCCCCAGGGAGATCCTTCCCACACTCATCACTGCCTGGCCCTGAACCCTTCCGCGGCTCTCTGGTTCCACAAGAAAAGACCAGGCTCCATGGTCTGGCCTTCGGGGTGTGGCCCCTGCCACCCTCCACTGCCCATTTCTTGCTACTCATGCATCCTGCTCTTCAACCACACCAGGCATCTCCCTCTGCTTAGGGGTCCTGCTTGATGGGGAGGCCAGACCTTACAGGTTCTGTGCTCCCAGCCCAGCTGGTACATCCCTCTCCTACCCGCAGACCAGGCTGGCTTCTGACCTCACCTCCACCCCAGAGAGTTCGTGCTCCTCCTTGGCCTCTGTTATGAGCTGAGTTGTGCCCCCCAACATTTCTATCTTGAAGTCCTAACCTCCAGTAACTCAGCATGTACTTTCTTTGGAGATAGGGTCTTTGTTAAAATGAAGTCATTAAGGTGGGCCCCAAACAAATATGACAGATGTCCTTATAAAAAGAGAAGACTGGGACACAGACACACACAGAGGGAAGACCACACGGAGACAGGGAGAAGTGGTCATCCCAAGGCAAGGAGAAAGTCGTCAGAAGAAACTAACCCTGTCGATACCTTGACCTTGGATGTCTAGCTTCCAGAATTTCGAGAAAATTAATTTCTGTTGTTTAAGCCCCCCAGTCTGTGGTATGTTGTTTTGGCAGCTCTAACAAACCAACACAGCCTCTCACAGCCGTGCCCTCCCGCTGTCCTAGTCCCTAGCCTGCAGGGTGGTGGCTGTCTGAGTGCCGGTCCTTTCCCACCAGACCAGGGGCAGGCCTGGTGTGACTCATCGCTGGGTCCCTGGCATCACCCAACCCAGAAGAAGAGGTTAGAAATGTTTGCTGAATGTCCCTGCAGCTCTCTCTGTCTCTTACTTGTTCCTGTCTCTGTCGTGCTTTCTCTCTGCCATTTAGCAAACGTTTCCTGAGGCCTTGGCGTGGGCTGGTCCCTCTGCCAGGAACACTCTTCCCCACTCTTTCCACCTGATGACCTCCTACTCATCCTTCAGGACCCAGCACAGGCTCCATCCTCTATGAAGTCACCCCTGGTCCCCCAGAGGTCTCTCCCCTGCTTCCTTTACCTCGCTCCCCCTGGCCCGGCATCTCCCCTTGCCACGGTCCTAGAGGCTGTAGCCATCTGCACCCTCGTGTGTCTCCCCCCTTCAAGTGCCCGTCTGATTCATCTTGGGGTCCCCAACACTACCCAGCACAGGACATATGGGTCGAATGAACAAGGGTGGCCCCAAGGCCCTCATCTCCCTCCTCCAGGCCCTTGCCTCTGCTCTTCTCCCACCTGGGGCACCTTTTCCTTCTCTATTAGCAAAGTCCTACTCCCCTTTAAGGCCCACGTCACCTCCTCTGTGAGGTCCTCCCTGACTCCCCAGGTGGTTGGTGTCTCTCTCCTCTGGGCTGCCACTACCCCTGCCCGCCCAACACACCCTGATCACTTGGGAAGCGACCCCACACCCTACACTGTAGGCTCCTTAGGGCCCAGGCTGGAGTCATCGCTGCACATGCTGGCACTGTGTCTTTGCAATGAATGAATACATGAAAGGGTCCCTGACAGACCAGGACCCAATCCTCTCTCAAACAAGGCCTCTTCCCTGCTGTCACCTGACATCTGACCCTCAGCCCCAACCCCCAAGCAACCCTAGCCTAAACCTTTATGTACCCTCCCCACTGCAGGGATAGTGGTTGGAGAGGTAAGGGTGGTTTGAGGGGAAATTTCCACCACTGTTTCCCTTATTCTCCTTAATTCTGCTCAACCCCCCAATTCCCACACAGCCCTCGCACCCTGGCTGCCTTTCATCCAGGCCTTCCTTGCTCTGCTTTCCTCCTCCCCCATCAGAGCCCAATCCAAGAAAAGGGTCTCATCAAATCATCCTCACCAAGGATGAACAGGGGCCTCCATTTCCACTGCGGACTCAAAGCCAAATGGCCCCAAAACAGGGCCTCGAGGGCATTGGTAACCCCGTTAAGAGGCCTGCCGAGCCACTCATCCTGCAGGCTGTCAGCCTTGGCCGAGGCGGGGTGGCCTCTTGCCCCTCTCTCTTGACTTTAGAGAAATACTGATGCCCAGACACTGATTTCATTGGGACAGGCTGAGACCTGGGCATCTGGATTTTTAAAAGTCCCCCCAGGTGATTCCAATATGCTCCAGCCCCCAGGCGTCTTCGGAAGCACCTCTCAAAACCTCATCCTATGGAAAGGTTGGTTGATTATTTACGGGCATCCCTTCCATTCTCCCATCACAGGCAGTGTGTAACTTTTTAGTGGAACGGGCGGGGAAAAGCAATGCAGAACCATACCAGGCCCCTTGAATCTCACCATCCTTGAGTCAGACCCACCCAGGGCTGCCCACGCCCCTGGGCTCACACCCGCTTGCCCGACTGCCCCAGGCCTGGGACTCTGGGTCCCCTCCACCCTTCCCACCCCTCCCTTGCCCCTCCCTCCCCGGACTTTCACTTCTCCTCTGCATTTCCCCCAGCCGGTTTTAGCAGACTTGGGCCAGCTTCTCGTTAGCACTTACCGAAAATGGGGCTAAATATAGAGGGCCCAAGGGCTGCCCCTCACCCCTCCTGGCCCCGCTTGGCCTGTCCCCTGGGTCCTCTGCCTCCACAGCCCGCTTCAGTCAAGGCTGTGGCCTGGGAGCCCCTGCGGGCAGGGCCTGCACTGCCGGGAACCTCTGTGGGCCCAGCTGGCCCAGTCCCAGCCTCCTTAGGAGCATCACCTCGCACCCCCACAGCCCCACAGCTGTCCCTGGGCGGCCTCAAGGGACTGAACACTTCTGAGCTGTCAGGAGGGAGGGATGGAAATACGGGCAGCAGACACAACAAGAGAGGTGGCCCCACAGCTGTGCCGACAACAGGCAGGAGCCACCACATAGCGCAAACACCACAGCCACAGGCAGGCTGGGCCCCGGTCATGGATGGAGACCATGCAAACACACACAGGGATGGATGAACACAGATCCAAGACAGGAATGTTTTCCCATTAAGACACATGCCCAGACACAATGACATGGGCAGATATGCAAAACACATATTTAGACATGTGTGTGCACAGCTGTGCTTACACACACACAAGTCACACCCAGACACGCACACACTCACACCCCGGAGTCACTCACAGACATATAGATACAGATGTGCATACACACATACCCAGAGTCACTCAGACAGACACACAGACATGTACACACTCACACATCCAGAGTCATCTCATCCTAGGAGATGGCCAGGGCAGACCCCTGAATCCAGTTCACAGATGTGGAGACCGAGACCAAGCAGGACAAGTGATATGCCCAAGGCCACACAATATATTAATTCCTATCCATGCAGCGGCACCCAGAGCAGGCCTCCAGGGTAGGGCACTTCTGTGAGAAATCCAAGTAAACGTTCTAACCCAGTGCCTGGCATGTACGAGGCCCCCATTCAACCCCAAACAGGGATGAGTCAGTGGTGGAGGAGATGGCATGCATGTGCAGAGGCCCCAGATCTCTGTGTCTACACTGTATGTGCACACACACCTACACATAGTTGCACACATGGGCACCTCAGTAAATAATCATGCCATCCTGCCAGTAGTCTTCCTTCCAGCCCAACTCACCTCTTTTACCTTGCTCATACCCACTCACCCTTCACATCTCAGCCCAGACATCCCTCCTCCAGGAAGCCCTCTCTGACACCCCCCTGCTGAATTGGGTAAGTCTTCTGAGCTCCCACAGCCCCTCGTGCCTCCCATATCCTAGCCCTGACTCCTCTGCCTGTGTGTCCTCCACTGAGTGACAGGTGTGTCTCCCATGCTGGACTGGGGACTCCAGGAGGACACATCTGAAGCCGCCTTTTTCAGTTGTATTTCCAACACCCAGCACAGAACTGCTCAATAAATACGTGCTGATGAAGGGTCACAGAGATGCCACAAACACTGAGGCACACAAGGTGGCACACACCAAACCAAGACTCATCCCCACAGGCACCCATGAATGTGACACATATGCCACAGCCATGCCCGTACAGCCACAAATGAAACAATCATGAAGTATTGACGCTTGCCGAGTTCCAGGCACTGTGTTAAGCATTTACACACATTACTTCATTTAACTCTTCCATCAGCACCGCTGAGAGATGACTATCATTACGCAGAGACAGATACATTATACCGAATGAGGCAACAAATACAAATCGCCCTGTATGGTGCCTGACACACAATGCTCAGTCAACTGACATTTGGGGGGCGGGGGGGAGCAAGGTTAATAAGCACACAAACATACAATAAATTTTTAGGCTGTAATAAGTGCCATGAGGAAAAGACACAGCAGGGCGAGGGGACCAAGAATGGCGGGATTAGTTGCAGGTTTAGATGGGGAGGTCAGGGAGGGCCTCCCTGAGGAGGTGACATCTGAGGCGCATCAAGTGAGGAAGTGAGTCAATCGATCCTTTCCAAGGGTACCTCCACAATGCCATCCACAATGGCCCCTCACACACAGACACAGGACAGTCACACCCAGAAGACTCGAACCACGGCTCATATACATGTACACAGATGTGCACACACTCAAAATGCAACAACACAGCCTTCCGACCCCCTTGCAGTCCCCATTCAAGGAACACTCATGCCACCCACCCACTGGTCTTCTAGATAGGAGCCTGCTACCATCACCGGACTCCATCCTCCTCCCCTGGACCCTCCAGAACAGGGCAGCAGAGATGGAAAGAAGAGGTCAGAGGCCCCCCAGGTGCTAATGTGGAAGGGGAGGATAAAGAGGAGCTGGGGGTGGGACCCAGGGTGGGAAGTGGAGAGCTTCTGAGGTACAGAGTGAAAGGGCAGAGGAGACAGCGAAGGGGGAAGGGCAGGGCCGGTCAGCGATCGGCACAGCAGGACAAACCCCAAGGTGCTGCCGGTGCTCCTGGGCAGTGGCGCCCGCCCCGGCCCCTTACCTGGAGCCCCCATGCTGGAGTGAACCATGCTGCCCGCCCCGCAGGGCTGGGGGAACAACTGTGTCATCTCCCCGCCCTCTCTGGGGGCCAAGCCCTCTCTGCCGGAAGTCACCCAAGGAGGAAACCACAGGGTCCGCCCCCTTCGGAAGGGAAAATACCATGGCCTGAAGGCCCACCCCAGCAGGCAGCGACCCCAAATCATGTGTGTGTGTTGGGGAAGTGGGCGTAGTGGGGCAGAAGGTAAGCAGGCTGGAAGAGCTGACTCCTACAGCTGCGCCTCCAGGAGGTGTTTGCAACAGCTGCCGCAGGCCTCCTGCCACCTCCACTGGGGCAAACACATCTGGAACGGGGCAAGTGGGTCTGGGAGAAGGTGGGCCCAAAACAACAAAACCACCACCAAAACACTGGCTAGAAGGTTTGTGGGGGCTTTCTCAGCGCCAGCCCTGCACCTTGCGCATGACAGGCGTCATCTCTTGAGGCGATCACTATTTGCCCCATTTTACAGATGAAAAGACTGAGGACCAAAGAGGTAAGATGGCCTTCTCAAGAGCCCAGAGCCGAAAAGCGTTGAAGCCAAAAAGCGCAGCAGGAAGAGGCGTTCGCGGTGGGTGTTCCGCTCGGCTTGGGGTGGGGGATCCAGCCGCGCACCTGTCCCCAGGTGAGGCGTCCAGGGCCACCACTGAGCGGAAGCGGTGCCCGCGGGCAATGCCAGTGTGGGCGGGGGGCGGGGCCTTGGTCGGGAGCGGCAGGCGACAAACGCAGGCGCCCGAGGCGGCCCCCGCGGAGGGGAGCATCGAGTCCCCTGGCTGCCCACTGGCCCTTTGCGCTGCGGCGCTCGCGGCCCAGCGGTTCTCTCCGCACCCGCCAGAGGGCGGCAGCGCCCAGCCAGTGGGTCGGAGGGCGGGGCTGGCTGCGGAGGAGGGAGCCCCTCCCTCCGCTCCCCTCCCCGCCCCCGCACCCCCACCCCCGCCCCCGCGCTCACACCTGCGAGGGTCACACAAAGGCGCGGGACTCCCGGCGCACGGCCGCGCAGACAAAGGCTCCGCTGAGCCCGCGACCCTCTTCCTCCTCCCGGCGCCCGGGTCCGAGGCTGCCGGCCGCCTGGCGCCTCCAAACAGCCTGCCTGCCCGCCCCAGGCCTCACAGAACTCGCTGTGCTCCACGCTGGGGGACCCCCCAAACCACACGCGCGCACACGGACTCCTGGACTCACCCACCCACACACCACATACACTCAAGTATTTCTACACATGGACCCCAGCACTTCACACACACGTGTGCACAAGCAGACGGGAACACTCCTCTATGTGCACAGGTCCCAATACCAACCCTCCCGACCCTCCATTGGTCACTCCTGTACAGACACCCCCTCAGCTCCCTCAAGTGGACCCAACAGCACAAGGGCACATCTACACATGTGCCCAGGCACGCCTCCTGACCATGTGTGCCCATACTCACACCCATGCACACTCACACAGGATATAACACACAGGCAGACCTTCGTTAGTGCCCTTCCGTCTGCACACGGGCCCTGTGCACCCAGACACGCCCAGGCAGGCAGGCCCACTGGACGACGGGAATGACCAGCGGTCCTTACATCTGCACACAGAGGGGGCAGTTCCCAGCTATCTACACACCATAACATCCCATATTGTAAGGACTGAATCTCACTGAGGAGATCCAGAGACCATGCAGCATCAACCAGGCTCCAACTCGGACCTGCTGCCTCCTGGTCCACACCTCTCTCTCTCTCTCTCTTTCTCAGATGCAGCGTTTCTATACATGAGGGTCTTCCGGACAGCAGTCTGGTGGCAGTGGGGTGCTAGAGCCTTGTCTTGAAGCTGCATTTGCCCAGGAAGTTCTGTTTTGATTTAGGATTTATGTTTGGGGGGGGCTTGGAAATGAGGGTAATAAGGACATTATGGGGGGTCGAAACCCCACCAAGTCACCCCCATGCTCCACCCTGGACATAGTCAACGTCATCCGTGTCAGGAATGTGCTGTTGGACATGACCAGGTGTCAGCCCCTTATGGGGAGCAAGGAGAGAAGCACCACCCATTTCTGGAGCTGCCATCCCAGGTCTGCAGCTGAGGGCGGGGGAGCTGGGGAAAGCCTTACACGCTCCCCCATGGGATGAAACCACCCTGCCCCTCTCACCTCCCATGATGGCTCAGCTATTTTTGTCTGAGGCAGACCAGAACTGAGCCCCTGAGCCAGAGTCACAGAATCTTGAAGAAGAATGGGCCTGAGACTTCCGTCTGCCAGAGAGAGGACAGAAGGGCAGAGTTTGGGATGCACTCCTGGGTAGAGCCTGGCGGCCAGGCATGGGGAGGCCCAGGCAGGGGAGATGGTGGCCTCTGGGCCAGAGAAGAGGCCTCAAGCCATGTTGAGCAAAGCATGCAGGGCATAGGAGCTGGGGAGCAGCGGGGGCCACTTGGGGTGCAGGGAGCCTGGGAGGGAGGCAGTGCAGGGGAGGCCAGACTGGGCTCAGAGCTGAGCGGTAATTAAAGGAGACGTAGGGGGCTCCCCAGGGCCAGCGGGGCTGGTAACTGACACGCGGGCCCCATTGCTCCGCTCATATTTCTCACCGGATCGATACGTTTGACTCCCGACAAGACAATAATCGCTTGTACGCGGCCGGCGAGTCGATCAAATACATTATTAGAGCGAGGTCCCCCGGGGGCCCGGTGGGGAATGGTGGGGGGGAGCAGCCAGCCCACGGGGGACAGCAGAGCGGAATTCTTCACCCCTCAGGGCCCCCAGCCATGGCCTCTTCCTCTCGGCCGCCCCTAGGGACCTTCTCTGTGGCTCGGTTCCCCAGCTTCTTTCTGGACACCTGCTGTCTCTGGTGACCTCTCTACTCAGCCCCCGGCCGTGTCCCCACTCTGTGTGGGGACCCAAGGGGTCTTTCCCCAGAAGTGCTGCCTTGCCTTGTAGGGCTGTAGGATGTGGGAGCTCAGAGAGGCCGCTCAGACCCCCAGCTTGGCAGGAGACAGGGAGACCAGGTTGCCGGCCGCACTATGAGTCGACAGCTGGGCCAGGAGATGAACTCCGGCCTAAGATTCATTGATTCTAACCTCCCTCTGCATCTCAGCACATCCGCCTTCAGCAGAGCCCAGGTCAGGCAGCCTCTGGGGGGTCGAGGAAGGCTGGCTTAGGGACCCGAATATATAGAAAAACAGGATGGGGGTGGCAGACAGAGACACAGACAAAGGCATGTCTAGCTGGTTCTGCTACAGGGCCATGCGATCCTCCAGCAAGCCTCTAATACTCTCGAATCAAACCCAGCCTGGCCCACCTGGGCACTGCTTGCGTACCTCTTGCTCACCTTCCTGGCTTCTGGGCTCTAGCCTTCATTTCCTGTTTACACACCTGCTTCACCCTCAGCCTGGCCTTCAGAATTGCTTCTCCAGTGGCCCTAAGTCAAGGTCAAGCTGTAACTGTCCCATATTCTGCTTAGCAGCACCCAGCAATGAGGCACTTAAAATATTTCTTCTCCATCATCATCATCATCAATAGCAGCATCACTGTCTATTCTGTGCTATTTGAACTAACACATTATTTGTATTCCTCACAACAATCTGAGGAGGTAAGGTCTGTTATCATCCCTGTTTTACTGATGAATTGGAGCTCAGAGAGGTGAAGTCACTTGCCCCAAGTGACACAGCATGTGAGTGGTGGAGTCAGGATTCAAACCCAGACCTGTCCTCTTTACAGTTTGCTCTTTCTCTACTCTACCATGGGCCTTCTTAGAGCTTCGAAATGCTCCCCGTCTTCCAGTGGACAGCAGGAAAAGCCACTCCCTGCCCACTCAGGAATACCGGAATCTCCTCCCAGCCCACAGCCCACCTCCCACAGCCCTTAAGAGTCTGTTCTTGATATTCGGCAAAGCACTGGACTCCTTCTGACCCATCAGGCTGAAGGTGGTCAACCTTTCCTCATTTCCTTCAATTCAAACCTTTTCTGCGTGTCCCTTAGTGTCAAGCCCTGGGCCTAAGGCTGAGGACCCAGAGATGAGCTGGATCTGAAACCTGCCCCCAAGGAGCTCACAATCCAAGAGGAAGACTGGAGTTGCTGAAAATACCCTGATATTCCATCAATGAGTCAGTAAGCATCCGATAAACGCAGTTATGTGCCAGGCCATTGCTGAGCTCAAAGAAAACAGTGGTTAAAAGTAAAATAGTCAATTATACTTCTGTAAAGCTGAAATTGTTTAAAAAGCAAAACAAACAAAGATGTTCTTTCTCCCCCCATAGAGCTTACCGTCTTTGGAGGGAAATAATTAAAAAAAAAAATCCATTGAATTAATAGGTAATTCCAAGTTGGGAAAAGAGCTTTCAACAATAGGAAGAGGATGATACCTGATGTCAGCTGGAGGGAGGCCTGGTGCTGAAGACTTGTGAGGAAATGGCACTCACACAGCAATTCGACCATTCGCAAGCAAAGAATGTGGGGAAGAGTATAGCAGGCAGTGGGAACAGAGAAGGTGGTGGCCCCGAGGCAACAAGCACATGGCAATTCCCGGAGCAGAAAGGAGGCGCGGATGGCTGGCACAGAGTGAAGAAGGAGGATGTGAGAGACGAGGTGGAGAGACCAGGGCCAGACCACACGGCCTCACGGGCCAGGGTAAGCATTTTGGATTTTACTGCAAGTATAGTGGGACACCACTATAATAATAAGTAGGGGAGTGATGTGGTTCTGTGAACATTTTCGTGGACAATTCTGGCTGCTGTAGAAGGCTAGTCTGAAGGGCCGGAATGTGAGGGAGGTCAGCTGTGAGGAAATGGGGGGTGTCCACATGAGACATGAAGATGGCTGGGACTAGGGTGGTGGCAATGGGGGAGGAGAGGAGCAAGTGTCCCCAGAAGCAATTTTGAAGGTAGACCCAACAGGATTGGTTATTGGCTGAAGATGGGGTGTGGGGGAGAGGGAGGAGTCAAGGATGAGGCCCCCTGAATGCGGAAGTGCCTTCCCTGCCATAGAAAGATTAGGGGAAGAGGGAGGGCTCTAGCTGGATGAGAACGATCCTGGCAGGCGCCACACGTGCCTTGCGGTTGGATTTGATGTTGTAGGTGGGAGGTTGGGCAGGGAGATTCTGGGTAAAGAAGATCCATTGGGGAATGCTGTGAGGACAGGCTGGTAGGTGGAATCTGGAGGAGGGATGACCAGAGTGGAGGCTGAGACAATGGTCCATACAACAGGGGAGCAAGGGCCATCAGGATGCAGATGAGGGTACGAATTCAAGTGAGAGTCTGCAGGATTTCAGTGGGCCTCGAAGTGGGTGGCTGGGCAGGGTGGCTGAGTGGACGCGGAGGCCATCACCGATGGACAGTCGGGAGGAAAGCAGATTAAGGGAAGATGCTTGGGTCAGTGCCAGCGGAAGATCAGGAAGAGGCATCTCAGAAGCAGCAAAGTCTATGGGCCAGGAAGCCAGCAGATGCTTAATAAATTTACATTGACACAAACACTCCTTATTGCACCCCCCCAACACCAATTTCCCAGGAGTTCACCTCAAGTAAGAAGAAACCTAGAAGCACTGTGATTCAGCTCAAAGAAGATAAAAGTCAGGAGACTGACCAGGTTCCATGCTGAAACTGACTAGCTGGTGACCTAGGCCAGCCCCCTGTGCTCTCTGGGTCTCAATTTCCCCATCTGTAAGTGGGAAGGGGGCTGGCGGGGCACTCTAAGACTTCTTCCAGCTCGAACATTCTGTGGCTTGAAAGAAATAAGAACAGGCAAGATGTATTGATGGGCCAACTAGCTGTCGGACCAATACGGATAGAGAGAGAATGTACTGCAGGCTTACACTAGGGAGGGCCCGGCTAAGTATACTCAGGTTTCCACTGAGTCCTCAGCTTTTATTAAGGACTTTTATTATCCTCATTTTAAAGACGAGAAAACTGAGGCCCATGGTCACACAGTTAGGCCAGGTGGACCTGGAGTCTCTCTGACCCCACAGCCTATGCCTAAACTGCTTGCTGAGCTCACCACTCCTCATCTTGGCTTGCACGTGTCTCTCTGACTGTAGGTCCTGCAAGAACAAGGTCCTTGATATCATCACCACATACCCACCAGGGCCTCCAAAGAAGCAGGTGCCTGGCCCTGGGCCTTCCCCTGATGAGGCTCTGCCCCCGGCCCAGCAGCCCCTACCCATCACCACGCTGCAAGGTCTACTCCAGCCCAGACCTCCCACCCACCCAGCAGTGACTGCAGGCACAAGGCCACCGCCACTCCCCACATCACAGGGAGCTGTCCAAAGGCTGAAATGCAAGGCTCCTTGTCCTCAGTCCAGAAGCCCTACTGCCTCCAGGACAAGCCCAATCCCCTCACCACAGCCTCCAGGGCCCTGCAGGACCTCAACTCTCTCCACGAGAGCACCACATGCCAGCCCCAGTGGAGGAAGCCAAGTCTGTCCCCACCTTGGGGCCTTTGACCTTGCGGACCTCTCCTCTAGAAGGCTGTTGCTCGTCTCTTCCCATTCCTCTCATCCTTCAGGACTCAGCTCAAAGGACACCTCCTCTGAGAAGCCCGCCCTTAGTCATTCTCCACTCCATCACCCAGCTGTATTTTCCTGACAGTGCTCTCGGGAACTCCATTACTGTCGACTCGTTTGACTGTCTGTTTCCCACTCTGAAGGGTAAGCTCTCTGAAAGCAGGTGTCCTTTTCTGTCGTGTTCACTGTGGCATTCCCAACACTTAAAACAGTGCCTGACACACAGCAGGTGCTTAAGCCCTATTTTCTGAATGATAGATTCCTCCAGGCTCCAAAGAATGAAGTCCAAGGCTGGCTGTTCAAGCTCAGGTGGGTAGGGGTCCCTGCCAACCTCTTTCTCCATTTTGCGCTCAGAGCTCACCTTCTTCCTCTGTTAAACAACTGGGGTTCTCCTACATGCCTGTCCTTCATGCTTCCTTTGTCTGCCACACAAATTCTACCCACCTCTACAGCCTCTGCTCAGATCTCCCCTGTCTAGAAGCCTTCTCAGACTCCACTGGACGCCCGATTAATAGTAACGACCTCACTCTTGCACAGCTCCAGGCCGCATCCCGGGCTTTAGCACCAGTCCTCCTGCGTTGTAATTACTTCTCAGTGAGTCTGCCCCCACGGGGTGGGTTTGATTCAATCTTGTGGAGTCGGAGTCCAGCACTGGGCTGCAGATAGCCAGGGCTCCAAGAACATTTGTGAATGAGGCACCTGCCCCCGCAGACTATAATTATCTCTACAGGTGTATATCGTGTATATAAGACTGGTTTGGGAGTCAGACATATGAAAGTTTGGAAACTGGTTCCTCCATTCAGTTGCTGTGTGACCCTGGGGAAGTGACTTTGCATCCATGAACCTCAGGTTCCTCATCTGTGAAATGGGGGCAGTAACATGAGCTGACAGGAACTTCATTAACTTTAAATATAATACTTGCCACCATGGATAAGGAACTCAAAAGTTCACAAAGCATTCATCACCCAAGGTTTGAAATAGAAAACTCAGAAACAACCTAGATGCCACCAATTCAGCACAGTGGCTAAGGATATTGTAGTATATTTGTACTCAGTACGTGGCCAAGAAAGAGAATGAGACAGACCTATGGATTTGGACTTGGAACATTCTCTAAGACACTGCTGAGTGAAAAGGCAAATTGCAGAATGGTTTATACCACTTAATGTCATTTATGTAAAACACATACAAAAAACATTATTCATTTTCTATGAGTGCGAAAGTGATGACAAATGCAGAGAAAAAGATCTGGAAGGTAACTAGTTAACTAATGACAACTACCTTTGGTGAGGGGTCCAGGACTGGGAAAGCAGAAGGGACTCGAAGGGGATTTTAGCCTTTCTCTTATGGTTTTGGTTTTTATAATGAGATTATATTCATTTTTTAATTAAAATTAGAATTTATTAAGTGATACAGAGGTGGCTAACACAAAGAGAAGCAAAGAAATGACTATCCCCAAAGTGAGGACAGTGGTTACCTCCAGCAGGAGGGAGAGAGGGGTATGTTCGGGGAGGACACACAGGGGTGGGGGCCCCCGGGGCATGGGCAGCCTCTTTTGTTCCAACCTAAGTGGTGGCTGCACAGATGTTCACTCTATAAAGATTGGTTAAACTGCACACTTATGACTTGTCCACACGACTGTGCTTCCTGTGGGCAGGGGCCAATTCGTACGCATCCCAGTATCATCTGCTCCCCACCCACCCCCAATTCCTGCCCAGAAGCAGACCTTAACAGAAATCTGTGTTCGGTAGGGTGCGCCCCACGGCTGCAAGTGCTCCAAGGGCCCGCGGCCGCTGTCCAGGGTACTAACGGCCCAAGCCTGGGAGGCCTCAGGGGAGGCTGGCCTAATAAGCCAGCTTCAAGACTCCTTATCCTAACCAGCCAGCCCTCCAGCCTGCCGTGTCACCGGCCCCTGCCCGCCTCTAATACATCACCTCCCATCACCCCCACCTCTCGCTCTCTTCCTCAGGCCGGCTTTTGTTCCTGCGGCCCAAGCCCAGCTCCAACGTGCCTCAGGACCTCTGCTCTTGCTCTCCCCCTGCCTGGTGCCATCTCTCCTCATTGTCCCCGTGGCGCATCCCCTCACTTATTCCAGGATTCCACTCACACGCCTTCTCCACAGAGGAGTCTTTTTGATCATCGCACCTCACGTAGCCTTTCCTCTCCTCATCACTCTCCATCCTTGACCAGGCTGCATTTTCTTCCTGCACTTCCCACTGTCCAACATTCAAGTTTCTGTTATGTGCTTGTTGATCATCTGTCTCCCCCCACTGGAATATTCATGCTGTGGGGGGACAGGGAGCAGGTCTGTCCTGTTTGGTTTTACTCTCCTTTTTAAAGGGGCCTCAGGTATTACCGTTAAGTGAAATAAACCAGACAGAGAAAGACAAACACCATATGATTTCACTCATCTGTGGAAGATAAACAAACACATGGATAAGGAGAATAGCTCGTTGGTTACCAGAGGGGAACTGGGTTGGGGGGAGGGTGAAAGGGGTAAAGGGGCACATATGTATGATGACGGATAAAAGCTAGACTATCGGTGGTGAGCATGATGCAGTCTATACGGAAACTGATATATAATAATGTACACCTGAAATTACACAATGTTATAAGCCAGTATGACCTCAATAAAATAATTGAAAAAAATTTTTAAAAGGGGCCTCAGGTGCACAAAATTGTGTTAATCATAATCCTTGGTTTACAGCATACACTCATCCTTGGGCTGGGCAGAGCCCTCTTTCATGATTTATTTGCTTATTTATTTTATTTATTTTTAACAATGTGTGCATGTGAACCCGCCACTCAACATTCAGTTTAGAGCTGTGACAATGGTCACACTGACACATCTGACTTGTTCACACTGTGTCCCCACTGCCTGCAACTGGTTAGAGGAGGCACTCGGTATCCATTTGCTGAAGAGGCTGAGAGACAGTGACCTCTGCACCATGCAAAAGGGAGCCAATGGGAGCCTCCCCGGCCTCACAGGAGGTGGATGGGGGTGGAGAAGAAATCAGAGGCCAGCCCCCTGCTAAGCTCCCCTGTCCTCCCTACTGCTCCCACCTCCTGCTCGGCGTGGCCCAAAGCCTCTTCAATACAACTCAGTTCTCCACTTCCCCCGAGGGCCCACTGTGCCAGACCCCGTGCCGAGAGCACGGGACACGGGGTGCATCAGCCTTGGCCACGCCCTTGAGGAGTCCTCAAACCTCCACGGCCCCGGCCCGTGACCATCTGCTATTATCATAAGTAATAAGAGCAGCTACCGGGCACCTGCTCTGTGCAGGTCTGTGCTCCGTGCTCGCCTTGCATCATCTCTTGGCATCTTCCCAACGATCCAATAAAGCAGGTGCTAGTATCAGCCCCCCTTTTTCTGAGGAGTACCTTGAGGTAGGTCAGAGCGGGCAGGTGGATTCCAGAGCCGGACTCTCCTCACCACCAGGCACGCTGCCTGTGTTACATTGATCATATGCACATCTCCCCTCAGAAGACTATGAAGTCCTGTGCCTCCTGCATCTCTGCAAAAGCAACTGAGGATGGTGGCAAGGTGTCAACTTTGGAGCCATGTAGGTGGTTAGGTCTCAGCCGCAGGGGAAGGGTGAGGCATGGAGGGGCTGTCACTTGGCCTAGGTATCACACTCATGAAGGGCTTCATTAAACACGATGTGCATTTTTGACTTTACAGTTGGGTGCCTCTGCCAGACCACACCACCTGTGAGACGCTACAAATTTTGGTTTAATAAATCCTGAAAGACCTTGTAAATATCAGTTAATTTGGCATTATGTTGTTGTTGCTAAGAGCACAAGTCTGTAACTCCATTTTGGCATTCCTTCATTCTTAGCATACTGGGAGGCCCAGGAATTAGAAATGCCCTGAGCCTCTCTCAGCTTCTATGGAGCCTGCTGAGTCCTTGCTGTGTGACTTCAAGCAAGCCACTCGACCTCTCTGTGCCTCTTCCAGAACTATGTTGTCTCTGAGCAGCATCTGCAGAGGACCCTGCCTGCAGGAGATGCTCCACAAACATTTATTCAGAGGAGTTTAGCTTGATGGAAGCAGGTGGGCCGAGATCACATGAGACATAGCCCCCGCCATCATGGAAGCAAACTCTGAGCTCTAGACACTTGAAGGAAAGTGAGGGATCAAGGGAGATGGGTAGATTTTGGGTGTGACAACCATTTACTGAGATAAGCACAAGCTCCTGGTGGAGCTCGGGCCAGGGGATCAGGAGTTCTGCTTTGGACGATTAAAGGAGGAGCCCTGAACCTACTGGTTAGAAACACTCTCCGTGCACTTTCTTACTGAATCTTCTCAAAACTCTACAAAAGAATCATTGTCAACATGCCCATTCTACAGATGAAGAAACTGAAGCTCAGCAAGGTTGAATCATTTGCCTGGAGTCACACAGACAGAGCCAGGATTAGCATCCAGGCTTCAAAGTCCACGTTGCCATCCACGGTACACTCTCTCTCTCCCCCGGACCTTCGCGCACCTCTTCCCTTTGGCTCAGCAGGAAACACTGGACATGGACCTGGGTTTGCCGTCTGAGACGTCCACTTGTCTCCCACCCCTGGCCAAATTATGGCCTCCTGTCAATATGAGCCATCTGCTAAGAGCTTTCCCGTGGGTCCCCTGCCTTGAGTCCTGGCAATGCTGGGATGCACCCTGAACGCTGTCCCCGGCCTGGTGCATTCTCCAGGCTCATACAGCCAGGCCAGCTGTGAGGGGAGCCAACACCTTTGGACCCACTCGTCTCCTGTGCGCCTCACTCAGAGCTCACCTCCGTGGAGTCTCTGAAGGTCAGTCCTCTCACTTGCTCCACACAGGACCTGTGCCTGGCAATGAACATCTCCTCAGTGCCAAAAACACCAGGCACTTTGAGGTTACCATGGAGAGCACCAAGTCGGTCCCCCCCAGTCCTCCTCCTCCCAGAGGCTTCCCCAGACTCCTGGAGAAAAAGCAGCCCCTGTCCTGGTGAGAGGAAAAGCTCAGGTGCGTGCAGGGTCAGACCCTCACTCTGCCTGACCAGCCATGTGACCTTGGATCAGCAGCTCCACTTCTCTGAGCCTGGATATCAGTACCAATTCCAAAAGGGCTCTCCGATTCCTCCCCTCCTCAGTCACCACCTGGCTGACTTCAGGCGCCTCCTGCTTGCAGGTCTTCCTGCCCCCATGCCAAAGCCTGATAGTCTCCTCTCCCCCTGGCGGCCTGAGAGGATCTTTCTAAAACTAATCAGGCTGTGTTGCTTCCTTGCTTAAGACTCTTCAGGGGCTTCCCTGCGTTTGGGAATAAAACCCAAACCTCTTAACCCAGCCTACAGAATCTTGTGTGACCTGGCCGCGGCCCACATCTCCCATCTCTTCCCCCATCACTCTCCCCTTCACCTACACTGCTCCAAGCCACGCTGCCTCCTCTCTGTTCCTCAGACCAAGCTCTCTCCAACCCCAGGCCCTTTGCATGTGCCACTCCCTCTGCCTGGAACACTCTTTGTCTGGTTAAACCCCACTCATCTTTCAAGGTTCAGCTTAATTGTCTTGCCCTCTCTCTGTGGGCTCCCTATCACAATTTCAGGGGTGGAGGGTTATCTGATTTTGCATTGAACTGGTATTTACACTTAAAGATCTGCAGCCCCTCTAGTTTGTCACTTGATGAAAGTTGACTGTGCCAGTGTTCTTCAGGGCTCTATCTCCAGGGCCCAACACACAGCAGGTGCTCAGATATGTGGAATGCATCTGTTAAATGGATCCTTTATGGGGATAAGCACCTGAGGCAGAGGACTGGAGTCTTCTGCGCCTTAGTTTCCACTTCTGTAAAATCAAGATAACAATTCCTCCTTACAGCGTAGTGGCGAGGATCCAAACAGATAATGAATATTGACAGTGCTTTGGGAAAAACGCCCTTCAGATGTAAAAGCTTGAAAGAGGTGGAACCCAGAGGATGAGCAAGAGTCAAAGAAGAGAAGAACAAGAGAGAAGGACATAAGCATTTGTCAAGTAACCGTATCTGCCAGACACCTTACATTTCCTCGTTCACTGTCTCCTGGGATGGTGGCTATGACCCAGAGGGGGAAACTGAGGCTCAGAGAGAAGACACCACCTGCCCACAGTGTCACAGTGAGTCCATGGAAGAGCCAGGATTTGAACCCCTCACACCGAGGCAGCCACATTTCCCACGCACCTCCAACAGAACTTGACCCCTAGCAGTGGGTTCTTGACAAACATTTATGGGTTGGACCAATGAAGAGGACCAACCAGAGTCACTTGGGTCTGAATGGCAGTCCTAGCTCTGCTACTCACTGGTTGGTGACCTTGGGCAAGCCGCTTCCCCTCCCTGAGCCTCAGTGTCCCCACCTGCAAAGTGCAACTAATGATCATGCCTACCATCTAGGTGGTCAGGGGACTCACCAAGAGCCTGCAGGTCGAGTGCTTAGCACGCAGTAAGCAGTCTATGAGCAGCTGTTAGGATTGTTACTCTTCCATGCAAGGGAACAGCATGAGCAAAGGCATGGGGCAGGTTTTGGAGATGATGAGAGGCCATTGGAGAGAGAATCAATCAGAGAGGTCCTCTCAAGGGAGTGGCCTCTCAAGCCAGACCGAAATGGACTCCCAAGTCTGCATCCAGTTGTCAAGGCGGGAGGTGGGAAGCTGGTGAGGGGTCCCCTGATCTTCTGCCCCTCTACACCCTCTGCCCCCAGACCCCTCAGCTCCTTCCAGGTTTCTTCGACCAGAGTCCTGTACACCTCAATCTCCTACCACCCTTGTCTCCACCCCAGGCCCAGACAGCCCCAACTCAGACGGGCCTCTCGCTCTTGCCCTGGCCTCGCCTCTGGCCCAGGGGATCTTTCTCTCTTCTGTTAGGAAGGCCTTTTACTAATTGGAAAACTATTTTCTGAAGGTAGTACAAACAATTCATAAGGGTAAAAAGTAAGAAATGTTTTAGGCACAAGCAAGCACATGACATGTGGGTAGGTACGTGTGTATACACACCACCTTTTTAACACAAGCTGCTTCTTGCCGCGTGCCAGAGGGCTCTGACACAGAGCTCCTTAGCCCCCTTAGCAAACCAGGTGCTGTGAGGCTGAGGGAGGAGATGAGTCCTGCACTCACGCAGGAATTGTGACCAGACAGGTCACTGAGTCCTAGGTGAAGAGTGGCGGCTTGGAAAGGAAACCTGGGGACATCCTGGAATCCTCCTCCTCCCAGTGCCTCCCAACTTCCCATGGATTCAACCCAGAGAAGTCTGAACCCCTCTGTTCTTCCCCCACAACTACCTGCCCTGCCCCCAGCCCTGCTCCATTCCAGGACACCTCTTTCTCTTTCTCCTTCTCCTCCAGCCAGTCCCATCGCACAGGTTCTTCCTCACTTCCTCACTTGCTCGCTTGCTCCACAGATGTCTCTTGGACCCCATCCACGTGGCAAACACTGAGCTAGGGACAAGTGATGTAGCCCCTGTCCTCCAGAGCT